AAAAAAATCAACTTGTTAGTCAACCAGAAATCAGCAAAATGTTAAACGTAGAAGGCTAAAGCACGGCGAACATCAAGGGTGTGCATAGTCTTTTCAAAAGGATCAGGATAAAAGGTAGGCAAAATGGTGTCTTGAGAAAGGTGGAATTGTTAGGCGTGGTAACGCAGCACGTGGAAACCACGTAACGTGAAGCACCAGGATCCAGACTTCTCTGATGAAGCAGGCTGCTTGTCAGCTGGAGAAACTCCTCTCCCCTTCCAGATAGAGCACAGAGACTCCACAGACAGACGTCTCACAAATGAGGCTTTGATCTTTGTTGCTCTATCTACAAAGATATGTACAGCATACACCAATGCAACTCCAACAGCAAAACAGCAACATGTAATCCACCATCAACAATGAGAATACCACCTTAGGGAGAAAGGAGATATCAAGCCTGAGGACAACTTTTGTCTCTGTGAAAGATCAAAAAGGACTCGTCAGAGTGCAAAGCTGTCAGTTCAGAGGATCTCCTGGCTGAGGTGATGGCCACCAGAAATGCTGTTTTGAGTGTAAGTAGGCTTAGGGAGGTTCAAATGGAGGCCTGTGTAAGCACTAACAAGAGTGACCGAGACGGAGCCAACGGAGGCACTGGAGGGTAGAGATGATGAAGGCCTTTAAAGATGCTCTTCAATATAGGAGAAGTGAAGAGTTTTGAAGGTGGTGAGTTGGGAGGCTGGTTGGCCTCAATGGCAGACAAATATACTTTGAAAGATGAGAAGGCCAGCCCCTGGCCATAGAGGTCCTGTGAAGAACAGGTGAGGATGGCTCTGCTCTGGCCTCAGCAAAGGCACAAAAGTGCTTCCATTGATAGGAGTATGACTTTTTGGTGGAATCTTTTCTGGAAGTTGAAAGTACCCTTAAAAGGTCTGATGCAGTCAAGGGTGAATTCTCTAGGCTGTGAGATGGAGGCTGCGTAGATCCGAGGAGGACTGCACCATTGCAGTGGGAGAGAATATCCGGCCAGTTGGGGAGCCTGAATGAGCGGCCCCTAGAGAGGTGGAGGAAAGGGCAAACCAAGGTTGTCTCAGCCAGTAGGGTGCCACCAGAATCTCATTGGACCTGTCTTCTGTCATCTTAATCACCACTCTTGCCAGGAGAGGTAGTGGAGGGAAGGCATAGAAGAGTCAGTGTCTCCACCTCAAAAGGAAAGTGTCTCCTGCCTTGGTACAAAATAGTGGGCACTGAGCGTTTTCTGGAGAGACAAAGAGGTCCAGTTGAGGAGTCCCCCATTGAGATGTGATGAGACAGAATGCCTCTGGTGACAAGGTCCATTGGTGCTGCAGGGCCTTGTGCCGGCTCAGATAATTGACTAAAACATTGCCCTTGCCAGCCAGATGAACTGCCACTGGGTGGATTTTGTCTCCACTTGCTTGCTTGGACTCCCTCATACCTCACTATGTCTTTGTCATACTTTTCACTTCCTTCTGAATTTCTGTCTCTCAGAATGCCCAGTCTCTTTACAGATCATGATAGCCTACAACAAGTCCAGAGACTCTCTGATTATGGGCACTGAAACCTGGATATGCAAAGGGTTTCATCATCCATGAGAAAGGAAATGCTGAGCACACCACTTGGTGAGTGAGAATTGTCCATGCACATATGGAGTTCCTTAAAAAAAAAAGAAGTAGTACAGAGAAGTTGTGGAGTCAAAGCTTAAAATATATGTTTATTATTTATTCCATTTATATTCCTTTTCTCTCCATGAAGGAAGGCAATGTACACCAAAACTTTGAAGTTAAGCTGAGAGAGAGAAAAGCTGCAATTTACTCAAGAGTACCTATGGAGTTTCTGAGCAAAGATTTTGACAGAAATCTCCCCAGTCCAAGTTCATCAAGCATGTTGTCTACAGGGCAAATGATCAACATTTCTACCCACTGAATTCTGCATATACCCTAGTTCCGTGTTGGCGAACCTATGGCA